AGAGAGAGAGAGAGAGAGAGAGAGAGAGAGAGAGAGAGAGAGAGAGAGAGAGAGAGAGATCATATTAAAGTATTATTCAGTAACCATAATTCAACCCAGCATTCACATTGTTGCGAGGCTGGCAACAAATGGATGCACAGAACTAGATAGCCCCAGTTGATTCATGGAAGTTGAATACATCAGAAAAGCCAAAATTTTAATAACTACTCTAGCTCTTTGAAACAGTTCTTTTGTTATTCACAAGTACTTCTCAAATGTCTCCTAAAATGTTAAAGGTGATTAAGTGGCAAATTAAGTATGTGAACATATGTGCACCTATCTATAGCTATATAATTACATATATCAATCTAACATTATAAGGGGTTTTCTTTTCCAATTCTGAAATACTAAAAATAAATGTTATTTGGATATGAAGAAATGACAGCACAAAACCGTTCCTCCTTTCATTCACATTTACTGCCTTACTTTATTCCCTATATTCTCTCTACAGTATGACTCAGACTTTCTCATTATCTTTTTTCACACACACACACAGCACACATACAGAGAGACTCAAACACTGCTGTCTGACTCAGAGCTGCCACTGAAATCCTAATTCCTTGATCCAGTAAGAAGACTTCTGCAATTCTTATGGGAGATACATAACATTTGTTCAAAACAGATTTGCAAAGTCTATATTAGTAGTTTTGTATTTGGGAACTTATTTTGCTATCATCTTGCAACAAAAAAAAATCAAACTAGATTAAAATTAAAGGTTGGGAAAATGACATGTTCAAAAACACAAATTTTAAAAAGAGAACAGCCCCAAAATGGTTTATGTTGCTAGCAAATTGAAGTAGCTGACTTTGTACTTCAAATACCTTATCTAGTAGAGCTCTGTTTTTATATACTGAAAAAGCTAATACTTGGGATGTTAATGCGCCTTTTACTATGGCCATCAATTTTAAAAATCTTTTTTTAAAGAAAAAAGAGGGACCATATCTCAGAGGTATAACACAAATGACTTGTAACTCTGGAGAATTTCTAAAAGTCAATGTAGACTATAGTATTTTCCCCAACTGGGCCACACTCTGGTTGTGTTAGATTTCAGTTCCAATAATTTCCTACCAGTATGTGCTTTGAATTTTCATTGTTTTTATTATTCTTCATTTTGAAGACAAAATGGAGGCATATCCATGACTATATACTGTAGCAGCAAGAGAACTGGTTTTTGTTTTTGTTTTATTATTTTAGCAAAAAAAAAAAAAGGAATCCGAATAAAAGGGCTACATCTATTGCCATTTTAAAATCTCAACCCTTCTAAAAAAAATCCCAAAATAATGGATCACACGTTTGTTCTACTCATATCATGTAATCTCCAGCTCACTGGATCACAGTGAGGGGTGAGTAGCAGAAAAAATAACATTAAAACATTGCCTCTGCTACCAAAACAGATGACTTACTACTACACCATAGCTATGTAATGTTAAAGCAAAGCAATATCCAGGATCACATTCCTTTCACCTAAGTAAACAGTTGTTACCATGCATTTTTATGAGAAATATAAAAAGCAATATACTTGGCTACCATTGTGTCATCTTATTGCTGCCCTTTCCAGGTATTTCCTTGAAAATATGTTTTTCTTACTGCTGTAGTTCTATTTTGTTTATAGACCCTTGATAGTCAGTATGGAAATTGGCTATTTAAATCTAAAATTCATGCCAATAATACTTATAGCAAATATCAAAACAGAAAACATATACCAGTATTTTGTTCAGAATTAGTATCATACAAAAAATTGTGGTTTTTTGTATTAGTTGAATTCTACAGAAAAATAATCTGAAGTTAATTCCATATGGGAGTAATATCAAGTTGAATAGAAGTTATGTATCTTTCTGGATAACAGATTTCATTGTCAAATTTCTTTTATTTGGGAAGTTTTTTCCTAATATTCAGCCAGAATCTGCTTTCTGATAAGTTAATACACAGTATGTTCTGCACTTAGGAATGAGAGAAATCTTCACTTCTTCCTTATAAACCATGTTTAGATAATCACTTTTCATTTAAAGCAGGGATTGGCAGTTGGTACTTCTAGACGTTTCGAAACAAAAGTTAATAAACTTGGCCATGGGGTCACTAAAAGGCAAAAGGCTGCTACTTTGATTATCCAAAATAGCATTCTAATAATATGTTATGGTGGCAAATCCCTGTGATGAATTACTACTGGAAAATAAAAGACAGATTCATGAATCTGAGGTCTATGTGCAAAATTATATTTATGTTTTGCTTTTTCCATATAAACTTCCCTCAATGAAATTAGAGCTGCTACAGATGGAAGCTTAAAATTTATAGTTTGTTGCAATGATATTATCAGATATCTCATTATAATTACATAGTGAAAAATAATTAGGTTCATTATTTTCATCACATTTGTGTCTCTATGTGTGTTTCATTATAATTTCATTACAGACTTTAAGAGAAATTCCTCCAAAACAAATCAAATGAATGTAATAGAAAGCAGCAGTAGAATCAAATCCCTCTCTTGCATTTGTTTTTAGTGAGATTCACTAAATAGAACCTGCTGTAAAGGACAGGCTTATATTTTTGAAAAACCTAATAATTTGTATTCAGTACTAAATGTGATCATATATCACCATTCTGTCACATTTCCCCCCAGATTATTCTCCAGCTTTCATACTTTCAGCTGCATCATTCAGCTGCATCAGAGTGCAACTGGAGATTCTTCTACTATAGCAGTTTTTAAATATTTGGGAATCCGGAATTCTTGCCAGTTTCCTGTAAATCCCTCTCTGTTCTCAGGAGGTCCATATCAACCTTAATTCCTGCAGGTTCCTGTTAAGGGATAGGCGACAGGGAAATATATAAATTGCTGACCAGACTCCTCATTTTTAAAAGGTTTTCAGGGGCTGCTTAATTGCAAAGAAGAATGCAGTTTTCCCTAGAGGAAGACAGGTGGCGTAAACATACAAAGGAAATCTTTTCTTTCCTCCCTTCAAATAGTGAAGCCAAACGACGCTTTTTCTGTACTGTTCTTTCTCAAAAGGAAAGTCGTTTTTTGTTTTTTCCCCAACCGGTTGGGGTGACGTCAGTCTGTCAGTAAGAGTCAGGTGATGTACACTATAAGCAGAGGGAGCTCTCCCGGTGCTGAAAACAGTCTGTAAACTCGGAGCGAATGGATATAGTCAATATCATGCTTTAAATTGCCTCAGACACAGGTAAGAATGTATGCTTTCTCTTTTAATCTACAAATCAAATGAAAGAGTCAATGTATATGTTCTCTGTAGGCAGCTTCCCAGCAGAATAAGCTAGAAGCAGATATTACCTAGTCAGAAAACGTATGAAATTGAAACCTGATGCACTTCAGTTAGTAGCACAGAAACAGGGTTGTATGTAGATGTTAAATATATTTTTCATACTTTGTGATTTAACCATATATCAAAACTAATAAGAACCAGACCAATAATAGTGTTGATAATTATACCTTAGAGTTATTAAAAACTCTTGAATAGGAAACAATATTTGAGCATTTTTAATAGTTTAATTCAGAAACGTGTATTTATAAAGCTTGATTTTTAGTCAGTGTTAGTGCAACTAAATCTCATAAATAAGTCACTATATTTTAAAACATAATAGTCCTAACACTTTGTTTTTCCACATAAGATAAGATTTCTAATATTCTAAGTTGGATAAAAGTAAAATTTATAAATTTATGGTTAAATGTCTGTCTTTATGGATAAAATAGGTATACTGGATCTCTGCATAATTCCTACTGAATATTCAGAAAAGAGTATATTCTATTGAATATATTAAAACCTAAAAGCCTCAGTACATTGACCATATTAAGAGTTTTACCATTCTATTCAAGGATATTATTCATGTCTATACAGAAGTAAAGGAAACTAGAGAATTTTTTAAATAAGCAGTTATTTGGAGATACTGGAATTGAATTTGGAATTCATTGTGCTTTCACATGTAGTAAAGTAGAAAATAATACAGCTACTATTGGGGAGGATGGAAAGTCCTTAAATATTTTCTTTTTATATGTATCCATTTAATTAAAAGATGGCACTTTTAGCATAAAAATATACCAACTGAAGCATACAATAAGATAAAAGAAAGCTGTTTTAAATACTATAAAATTTTGATGCATTTTGCTCATTGTTCATGTCTGGAACTTAACATTATTTTACCTTGCAATAAATCTTCATTACTAAGCACAATTGTAGTTCAGAGTGACTGCCAGAGTACAGGATAAAAATAAGAGTTTTGCTTAAAATGTCTAGAAACAATCCAAAGCAACTAGCAATCAGTTCAATAATTTTAAAATGGTGCTATTAACTTTGTAATATTCCAGTCAACTATAGCGAAATCCATACAGCTTCACTAAAATCACAAGGGTTTAAGTATATCACTTAAGTCCTACTGATTTCTCCATAATTAACTAGCATTAAAATTGGATCCCATACAATAATTCACATTTTGTCTTTCTTTATTTGCTTTACTCTGCTATCTCATTTACATTTATTCCACAGGCTTTCATGGGTCATTAGAATTTAAAAACTATTTGACTAAAGCCATTCAAGCATTCGGACTGCAATATTTATTGTAAAGTAAGAACAACTATTCTCTTTTAAAGATCTTGACAAAGAAAGAAACTCTCTCCTATTTTGAAAGGATATTGAATAGAGTCTTGAGAATTAACAGATAATTAACTAGTATTTTTATTAATCTAAATTCTTACTTGGAACATTGTTGGAGAAAAGTAAAGCAATTCTATTATAGTATTTTAATTAGCTCACTATGTAAAAATCATGTCATGCTGTGCTGCAAACCAAGTCCGTTTTGCTTGAATGGCATAATTAGCCTTATGTGGTATATGTGTGTTTACTTACAACAGAGTAAGATAAACTAGCATTACTGAATTTTTTTCCACCACCTCATGAACTACTATTATATCAACAGGATATTTTAAAGTGTAAAATGGATGAGGAAAAATGAATAGACTGGAAAAAAAGTTGAATCAAGCACATACTATTGTATGTCTATTCTGGATTTGATTTTTCTCTGGTCTGCTTATTGCAATTTCTGTCTAAAATCTTTGAATTTCTTTCAGCAAGATTTAAATAAACAGGAATTCTGTCCTTTTAGTCCAATAATCAAAAATGTTTTTTAAAAAGATGATCGTGTGTGTGCATGTGTGTGTGTGTGTGTGTGTGTGTGTGTGTGTGTGTGTGTGTGCATAAAAGAGGAGGAAAGATTATAATAAAAGAGGAGGAAAGATTCCATTTCTACAAAAATAATATATAATGCTTAACCCACTATTCTGCGTCTACCCATAGATGATACAGCCAAATGCTAGAGAGGTAACATTTGTAACTCTGAATAAGCAAATATATTGGATCAATCATGTTATAATTAGAATGGTTAAATCCCACGTGAATTGTGTACTATTCTTTTTGTGAACAGGATCCTTAAAAAATAATTCCCACTATTAACATAATCCTATTAACATAAATATGAAATACTTATTTACCAATGCAAATGGCCACAGTCTAGTAAATGGTTTGTTTAAGCCATAAGGTTTTAGTGTTCTATTCAGAATTTCTGTCTTAATAGAATTCTAGGCTTACTTAAATGCATTTGAGACAAAAAATATTTTTTTCATTAAGAGCATATATATGGTGAAATATTAGGGAAGTGCATATAGCCTCTCAGTCTGACTGATATTTGCTAATCTTTCTTTGAAAAATGTTCTTCTGTTAAAAATAAAACAATAAAATATATTTCAAAATAAATTATCTTAAAAGTCTAGGTCTTTATTTTTTTTAAGGTCTGCTTATTTTTTACTTTTAGTTCTATTTTCTGAGTGCAATGTTTTGGAATAAGTAAATCAATAAACTGAGATGTTCTGTGAAACTGTAGGTAGGAAAACCTACATTTGTCAATATTTCATATATTATTGTATGGACATATTTTTATTTTGATTAAGCATTTACCTTGTTTTCTTAGTTTATGCACTATATAAATCTGGCTGTAATAAACATTATAAAAACATAATCCAGACTAGCAATTAAATTCTATATTCTTTGTCAAGGGAAAAAGCTGGCTTGACTATCAAGATTGTTTTAATTTTGCACTTGGGAGTATGTTATAAATATTTAGTGACAGAGACAAAGATTTATTTTCCATAAAATATTTATTCCCATTTGTTGTATTCATTGTGTTTATTTACTAACACTACTTATCAACTGCTCCAATTATATGACTTTACTTTATTAATAAGTCTGAGCTTATTATTTTATTATTTACAGAGTGATCACAATAGACTTATTTTTATTGATTGATGCCAACCATTTTGGATTAGTGGGCACATTTGGAATTTTGAGAATTTGCTATGAATACTCCCACAAACTGGCTGCTTGAAGGGCTGGGCTTCTTCATTTAAAGGAAACAAATGTTATGGAAGGACATAATCAGTTAGAAATTACAAGTTTATCAGAATCTTGCCATATCCTTCAGCCCCCCCCCCCAAATGCAAGGGGAGCTTACTACTCTGACTTAGTTTGTCCCTTTTCTAGGCTAGTAAGTAGACTTTTAGGCAAGCAGTGGAATGTAACCACTCATCAAATTTATGGCACCCATTGGGGCCCAGAAAAATTATTGGAATTAAAAATAATGATGGTGACTGATTCTGAATTTTGCAAAGTGTCAGCTTCCTTTTTTCAACTAAAAGTTTAAAAAAGTAAAAGGTCGGGGGGCGCAGAAAGCCTGGGAAACATTAAGGCAAATTTTCACAGATACCTTGATGACCCCTGAACCATTTTGATAACTAATTTTAGATTCTGAAAATGTTTTGTTCAAAATTTAGATGTATTAAGTTTATAGCAATACATAATATAATGAATTTAAGGGTCTGTCTAGAAAATCAATAGTATTGTTTAATAAATAAGAGCTGTACCACATAAAGTATAATTTAAAAATTAGAGATAGGCTTCATGATTATTTATTCAAATATCTAAGACTGTCAAACAATAAGGGAAACAGAACAATTTGTAGAAGGAGTAGCAGAACCTGGGGTAGAGTTAAAAGAGGGATTAGCCTAGAATCCCTACATAGACACAAACAGACTAAGTCAAAGTCCCCTTGAATTCCATAGATCCTTATCTAACACCAAGCAGAAGGTAACCATTAGTTGAAAATATTTGTGTGCATAGGCTATTTAGCAATAAATAATTAGACCTTCAATTGTGGACCTGGTCTTTTATGCATTATACTAAATTACAAGGAATAGCTTCTACATAGCTATATGCAAATATAGTTAGTTGTAACTATTTGTATAAACTATTGGTAATTCAATTTCATTTTTCTGATCTCAGAACCTAACTTAATAAATAAATATAATTCAACTTGAAGTAACTTATAAATTACTTTAGTCTAGAACTATTATTGCCGTCCATATTTGACTATATAAGATATTTAAAATGTACATCTCTGTATTAATTTTCATTTTTTCCCCTTTATTTTAAGGAAACATTTCAAATATGGCTGATAAAATCTCCTGCCTTGGAATACTTTTGCCTCTTGTCCAAGGTTTTCTGATGATCTCTTATGCCAATGCCGCTTCATTTCAACGTTTTCAAAACATTCAAAATGATCCAGACTATGTAATGAAAAACCTGCAAAGGCTTCCAAGCCCAGATATGATCAAAGCTCTGGAATACATAGAAAATCTAAGAAAACAAACCAGCAATATAGAAAGTCCAGATTATAATTCCTTTCAAAATGCTCCATTTGTTCTACAGTCAAAAGAAAGCAAAAACCAACGCTATTTATCCGACAACCAAAGGGAGACTTTCCCGGAAGATGATTCCCAGTGGGTTAAGACAATGTTGGAAACCCTAAGACAAAGAGAGAAAGAATCAAAAGTTGTCTCAAAAGAAAATAAACTTAATCCCCTGAATTCAGACAATATCTTTCTGGATGGAATAATGGATGATTATGATGATCGTACTTGGCCTGCCCCAACACATAAAAAATTTAAGGTGCCACATACCTACATTGAAGGTAATTCAAGAGATAGTCCTTACAAAAGAACAAATGAAATAGTGGAAGAACAGTACACACCCCAAAGTCTCGCCACTTTAGAATCTGTATTTCAGGAGCTGGGGAAAATGATGGCACCTCATAATCTGAACAAAGAAAGGTTTAATGAGGAACAAAAGCTATATGCTGATGAGGAAGATGACGCTTTTAAAGGAAATAACATTGCTTATGAAGATGTGGTTGGAGGAGAGGACTGGAACCCAATAGAAGAAAAAGTGGAAAGTCAAACTCAAGAAGAAATAAGAGATAGTAAAGAAGAAATTGAGAAAAATGAAGAGATAAATGATGACATAAAGAGAGCAGGTATCCTGGAAGATGACTTGAAAAAAGAGAATAAAAATCAAGTCCTGGAAGATGTTTCACAGTTGATGGATTATTATTTGAAAAAGATGATAAATAGGCCAGGAGGGAATATATTGGGAATCAACCAAAATGAAGACAAAAGGGCGGTCAAATACTTTGAAAAACAGCTTGATCCTCAAGCAGTTTATCAGTTGATAGAAATCTCAAGAAATTTACAGATCCCACCTGAGGATTTAATTGAAATGTTGAAATCCGGAGATACACATCAGAATGAAAAGGAACAAGAACCTGAACTGATTGAAGATATTGATGAAATTCCTGAAATTAATTTAGAAAAGTCAGACTTATTCAAAAATAAGATGGATTCCTTACATGGTTATCAAAAGCAAAGATTTAATGTTCTCCCAGATAATCTGCCAGAAAACCTGAATGTTGAAGACATTATAAATCTTTTAGGGATGGAAAATGTTGGCAATCAAAAACCTCCTTATCCTGGACATCAAATAAATCAAGAAAATGGATTGCCAAAATGGTACCTGCCTGCAAGATCTGATCAAAAGATACTGTCCAAAGTGGCCTGGCTTAACCGTTTAGAAAGGCAACTGAAACAAGAATCATTGAATGGAAAAGAAGAAGAGTTGTCAGACTATTTAGTCAAGATGTTGACAAAGTATCCTGAAGTTATCAATGCAGGTCTGAAGAAAGAAATTCCACTCGCAGTTTCATCTGAACATGACCATCTAGACCAAATAGGAAGTCATGAACCAGATAAATTCACTTTATTCAGCAAAAGGCTGCCAATGGCTAAAGAGAATGATGACACCCAGAACAGGCCATATATGGATGAAGAGATGCTAGCAAAAGTTCTGGAATATCTAAACCAGGAAAAGTCTGAAAAGGGGAGAGAACACATTACCAAAAGGGCAATGGAAAACATGTAGTTGTTTAAATATTATTTCTCCTCGTTGGATTAAATTATAGCCCAATTCAGTTGTGATTTACTTTTTTTTAAGAATTTGAGGCATGTTCAGGCATTATACCTAGCTGCTTTTTGCCCACAAGAATTCTGGCACTTCCCTTTTCATGAGTAATATTACTTGTATGAAAGAAGAGCTTATGGGCCTCAATGATAGCTGCTCCTGTAGTCTCTGCATGTGGTTTTGAACATCAGCAATTGCAGGAGCTTCCACAGGTGAGATCTGTGAGCTCCCAGAAAATGCTCTATATTGCTTGTGGAAATGATTGTGCCCAGATGACTCCTTCAGGTGCAAAAGTAGTTTGGTTTTGTGTCTCAATTGGTCACCATGATGGATGATTTGGCACTGAACAGTCTGTATAAACTCCTATGAGCTGTTCTGTGGTTTGTGAGTATCTCTAAATGTTTGAAAACTTGATCAAATAACAAATTTCTTCAATTTTTTTAAGAAACAAGTTTATGAAATAAAAACTGTCAAACAGTAAATCTTGAGACATCTTGATCAAAGCAGATTGGCCAACAAAATAGGGGTTTTTTAAATGAATTGAAATATTTTGTTATTGTCTGTAGTGTTTTTTTGTGAAGTACCAAATAAAAATAAAGCATTCATATACATATAATATATACAGTATATATATAGTTTTATTTACAAAGCTTTTTCTATTCTGTGTTTTAAGGTCAATGAATAAATATTATTTCTGGACAATAGACTGTGTTTTGTTTTGCCTGAATTAAACTGTTTGTTTACAAGGTTAGCTTAGGTAAAATAATTGTCCTTTAAAGAATAATCATTTTAATTTTCCAGTGATCGCAAACAACTATACCATTTAATGATGTCACTTTTTCAAAATCAGCTCTCAAATACATTACCAATAGAACACTATGTTTTATAAATTAACAGTAGTTGGTAGAAACATTTTATCTGAGGATAACTAACTGAAGAAGGAGAAAAATCCATAATTCATCTTTAAGCCTCTCTTTCTGTTTCTATAATATTATAATGTTGCGTGAAGTAAAATATCAACTCTAAAACTCATTTGTAAATATTGTATCAAGGGAAGATAGTTGAAGTCTATGAATTAAATTGACATCCTTGATTAATTATAAATAATACACTGAGATAAAACCAAACTATTTTTTTCATTCTTTTTGTAATTTGAAAATTAAAATTAGTCATCTATTATTTAAGTTTCATTGTCACCATCCAAAAGACACAAAAGGTGCAATAGTCATCAACTTAGATTAGGCAAACTGGATAGCAATATATCAATTAGCATTAAATGGCAGAGCAAAGGAGATTTCTTCTATTTTGTTTATTGATTACCCAGGGAGAAATTAAAATTAGGCTGATATATTTGATGGGATTTTAGTCAATTTTAGAGACTTTTAGAATACTTTATTTTAAGTATAAAATCAACTCTCATCAATTCTTTGTTGGCACTGCAAAACAAATCAACCCACAAACTCTATTAGTCTTTGATAGGAAATTCAGGGTAGGGAATTAAGGATAAAATGTCATGCCAAGTGTATACATTTATTTCTGCATCGTTTATGGATGAGGTTCATAAAATAGAGCTGAGGATGTTCATGTCTTTTATTACTATACCATCCTTGGTTTGCTCTAGTGAATTGAGGACATGGTATTTTATACAAGGAAGATATAGAAGAAAACAATTCTAGTGTGTGACTTAAATATAGCCCATATTCTCTGCCAGCCTTTCTCCATTTGTTTCTCTCTACTGACTCCAGCTTCCACAATTTTCTGGCAGTATTTTATCGAGCATTATGGGTGTGGCAGCTAGTTGAAATATTTTCATTTTTTTTTTCATTTATACTTTATTTGTATGCCGCCCTTTTCCCTGAGGGGACTCAGGGCGGCTCACAGTTGAAAGGGGGGGGAGACAGACAAGTTACAAACATAGAGCCATACACCGTTAAAAACACAACAGTCACACCATTCGAGTGGGGTTATAAGTCGTTAGCCCCAGGCCTGTTGGAACAGCCAGCTTTTAAGGGCTATGCGGAAGGTCTGGAGGGTGGTGAGGGTACGAATCTCCACGGGGAGTTCGTTCCAGAGGGTCGGAGCAGCCCCCGAGCAGGCTCTCCTCCGGGTAGTTGCCAGTCGACATTGGCTGGCTGATGGAATTCGGAGGAGGCCTAATCTATGCGATCTTATTGGTCTAGAGCAGTGGTCCCC